TAACAACTATTTTTCTCATACATTATCCCAACAAACTAGCAACTGCAGGGTCTACCATAAAAAGCTTCATAAGGGGCCATCCCAAGACTAGCATGATAACTATTGTTGTAAGCGAACTCTATCAATGGTAGCATCTCCTCTCAATTCTTTCCCACATCCAAAATACATACTCGTAACATATCTTTTAACACTTGTATGGTTCTTTCTGATTGTCCATCTGTCTTGGTATGAAAAGTAATACTAAAGTTTAATTTTGTGCTCATTGTTGACTGCAAGCTCCTCCACAACTTGAAGTGAACCTGGGGTCCTTATCTAAGACAACAGAGATTAGAATACCATGTAGTCTAACTATCTCGCTCACAATAACCGAAGAAGGTGATCCACCAGGTTTGACATCTTCATAACTAGAAAATGTGAGGATTTGGTAAGCCTATCCGCAATCACCCAAATATTATCCTGATTCCTGCAGTGTCTTGGTAACTTTGTCACAAAATCTATTGAAATTTGCTTCCACTTCTACTCCGGTATAGGTAATAGTTACAATAACCCCCCCGGTTTCTGATGTTCTGCCTTCACCTGTTGACAAATCAAACATCTTGACACATACTCAACAATATCCCATCTCATCCCATGCCACCAGTAATTCTTCTGCAGGCCTCTGTACACTTTGATATCCCATGGATGCATGACAAATCTTGTGTTGTGTGATTCTTTGAGAATTTCCTTCCTTAAGTCCTGGTTATTGGGCATACACATTCTACCCCTATATCTGAGCACTCCATCCCCTGATAAACTAAAATCAGTCGCATTCTCTTGCTCTATCTCCTTCTGGATTAATTGTAAGTTGTCATCAGCCATCTGACACTCTTTAATTTTTTGAATCAGAGTCGGCTGGGCTTTCAAACTGGCCACATATTTACCCTTTTTCGGTCCCTAAATTTCCACTCCGTGCATGGTTCCCTACAATTCCCACTCAGTTACCATTAAATGGGTCAACATTCCGGTACTTATATGGCTGAGAGCATTGGCTACTACATTCTCCTTCCCCGGATGATAATGGATTCGATAGTCATTTAACAAATTCATCCACCGTCTCTGCCGCATATTGAGCTCTCTCAATGTGAACAGGTACTATAGACTCTTATGACCTGTGTAAACGTCAAAGGTCTCTTCATACAGGTAGTGTCGCCACAACTTCAGAGCATATATCACTGTAGCCAATTTCAAATAGTGTGTGGGATAATTTCTTTCATGTACATTTAGTTGTCAGGATCCATATGCAATAACCTTTTCGGACTGCATCAATACACACCCCAAACCCAAACAAGAGGCATCATTGTAGACTACATAGCCCCCACTTCCCGAGGGAAGGGCTAGTGCTAGAGCAATAGTGAGTTTCCAGTTGAGCTGACCAAAATTATTCTCACAATCCTCATTCCATTCAAATTTTATTCCTTTCTTCGTCAATCTGGTGAGCGGGGCTGCTATGCTCGAAAATCCTTTTACAAACCGGTGATAGTACATTGCTAATCCTAGGAAGCTTCTAACATCAACTATGGTACTTGGTCTATCCTATTTTACCACTACCTCTACATTTGCCGGATCTACTGAAATTCCTTTTCTTGACACTACATACCCCAAGAAAGATATATGCTCTAACCAAAATTCACACTTACTAAATTTGACATATAACTTGGCCTTTCGCAGTATTGTCAATACATTTGTCAGATGCTCTTGATGTTCCTCTGAATAAAAATTGATTTGCTTGTTTAGACAGGTGGAAGTTTTTGTTTGGTAAAGCACCAGTAGGTGTTAACATTTCTGATTGGATTTTGGGGCGTCACATATGATTTCTTTATTCCCATTAATTCCATTTTTCGCATCTCGTTAAAAAATATTTTATATAAATAATTTATGCTTTTTAATATAATATTTAAAAGTATTTTACAATACTATAATAATTTATAGTATAAATATTTTTTTAATGATTAAATTCATTGTATACATAATATAATTTGTGTGTTGATGTTAACTTTATCCTTTATCGTAATTATAGAACGCAATTCCATCATGAATAAGTCTCATTATACCATCCATTCTACTATTTATAACAAAATTTGAAATTCACAAATAAGGTTCAACTTTTTTTAACCTTTTTAATAAAAATATGAGTAAATTATAGATATAAAAATCTAAACATGAAACATGTATAAATATAGGCATTGCGTGATGAAGATGAAAAAAAAATAAAAGTTGGAGATGAAGAGAAAATGTTAATTGAAAAAATTATGAAATTTAAAATTATAATAGTAAATTATAATCTTAAAAAGATTCTTGTGTAAAATATGATATTTTTGTTATTATAAAATGAGATATATAATGAAAATATATATTTTTAAGTTTTGATATTTTTAGTATTAAGAATAAATAAATCGTGCTTGAAAAATTTTTCAAATGTGTTTTAAAATTATTAAATTTTTACATATTTAGATAAAGTGCTAATTTTATAAATTATAAATATTTTATAATTTATATGAAAACTATAAAATATGTTTTAAAAATTTTAAAAAAAAATTTCAAACCGGAATCAAAATTCTAAAGTAGCTCATATTTTTCACCTGCCAAAGCTGTTTACCAAACATAAATATTTAATACTTTTATTTATTGTCCCACAAGATTGGAAAAAGATTTATCTATTTATTTATGATTATTTACAATAATTAAAAATTAAATTAAATATTAATCAAATCAAGACGTGACAAGTCAAGACCAAATTATTAATACAAGTGACCCACTAACTTAACAATATTAGAATATATAACTACAAGTCCATTTACAACAAACAGATCGTCAAAACTCACGGCAGCCACAATGGAAGCCGACGCCGGTAACTCTTCCTCTTCCTTTCCCATCAAAACCGTCGTCGTTTTGATCCAAGAAAACCGATCCTTCGACCACATACTCGGCTGGTTCAAATCCCTCAACCCAGAAATCGACGGCGTCGACGGATCTGAATCCAATCCTTTATCCACATCCGACCCGGACTCCGCCCGAATTCCCTTCCGCGACAACTCCGAGTACCTCGACCCGGACCCGGGCCATTCATTCCAGGCCATCTACGAACAGGTCTTCGGAAAACCATTTAGCCCCGACCCGTACCCGGAAGTAACCATGAACGGGTTCGTCCAGAACGCAGAGAGCATTCAGCAAGGCATGGCGGAGAAGGTGGTGATGAACGGGTTTAAACCGGAGGCGTTGCCGGTGTTCAAGGATTTGGTGAAGGAGTTTGGTGTTTGCGACCGGTGGTTCTCGTCGTTACCGTCGTCGACGCAGCCGAACAGGCTGTATGTTCACTCTGCGACGTCACACGGAGCGATGAGCAACGATACGAAGAAGTTGGTTGAAGGGTTTCCGCAGAAGACAGTGTTTGAATCCATGGAAGAAAGTGGGTTTTCCTTTGGGATTTACTATCAGTCTTTCCCTAACGTGCTTTTCTACAGGTACGTAATTTTTACCTTTTCTTCATGGATTAGTGTATATTACCATCTAATCCCCATATACATTTGCATGTACCTATATACATATACGTACATGGATAGATATATATATATATATAGTATATAATATTAACAGTATTAAACTCTTTTCGTTCAATTCATTTTTTTTATTTGGTAATTAATCTATTTGGATCAAATATTTGTAATTGAGTTTTAATAAAACTTACGTATTAACCAATTGTTTCACTAAATTAAATACTAGGCATGCATCAGTGATCTATATATATATATATATTGTTTTTAAATGAATTACCCACATGTGGAACCAACCGGCCAGTGGGAATCCATGAATAAGAAAACAATGGCAGATTAAGGTGACAGCTAACCATATATATAAGACAATTAATGTGTCGAATCTTGGTTTATCATATGCTTATATATGTCTTTTCCTTTACAATTTAATAATTAATAAAAAAATTAAACTCATAATTTAATAATTAGTCGGATCTTAATCTTGTTATATATATACATATATATATATATATATATGTGCGCGTGTGTGTGCATGTGCATGCACGTCTCCTTCATAATCTAGACACGTTTTTAAATTTTGAAGGGAAAAAAATTAACATATTTCTTTTTATATTAAAATACATTATTATATTATAGTAAAATTATGTTTGTAATATTTAAAAATAAAAAAAAAATATTTTAAAATTGAGTATAAATATAGTAGAAATTTTAAAATTATATTTTTTAAAGTTAATTTTCATTTATATAGAAAAATATATCATATATACCCATACTTGTAACATAACATATGAATATATTGTTTTTTATTACACACCAAGATAAATAGATAATATTAAGCAAGTGACAGGTGCTGTAAATAGCAAGCTTAAAAGGACAATCGAGTTTTTATCTTTGTTAATGTTTGAAAATTAAAAATGTTATCCCTTAAAATTTCTTAATTCAAATGCATTAATAATTATGTTAATATATTTATTTAGCTAATTATTTAATTATATTCACGTTAATATTATACAAGAATATAATAGTTTTAGTGTAATAACTAACAGTTGTTAGTATATCCATTAGTTTATATTTGTGTTTTATAAAAATACAATGATATTTTTTAATAATTCAAATAGTTTTATTTAAACCATGATTGTTTTATGATTTTATAAGATAGTATGTAATTTATGGATGTTGAGTGTGCAGAAACATGAGAAAGCTTAAACACATAGACAATTTCCATCCGTACGATCTAAGCTTTAAGAGGCACTGTCGGGAAGGAAAACTTCCCAATTACACGGTAATCGAACCTAGATATTTCAACGTATTATCGGCCAAGGCCAATGATGATCATCCTAAGAACAATGTGTTGGAGGGCCAAAAACTGGTGAAGGAAATCTATGAGGCTCTAAGAGCAAGTCCCCAATGGAATGAAATCTTGTTCCTCATCGTCTATGATGAGCATGGTGGCTATTATGATCATGTTTCAACTCCCATTGACGGAGTGCCTAATCCCGATGGTTTAATTGGTCCCGAACCTTATCACTTTAAGTTTGATCGTCTTGGTATTAGGGTTCCTGTCTTTTTGATTTCTCCTTGGATTGAACCTGGAACAGGTACTATTCTCACTATAAGAATAATAATTTTTTTAACGAGTTATTGCGACAAAATTTATATCTATATGTCGCAACAATTTTATTTTATTTTAACTTCAATTTTTATTAATTCTTTACAGTTATTAATTTTTTTTTGGACTATTGAAAAACTTTTTTTATAACTAGTTAGAAAAATTGTGGTAAAAATACATTTTTTTCATAATGAATCGTAAAAGATTATAATAAAAAGTTAATATTTCTTACAATAATTAATGAACAATTACAGTGTTACATGGCCCATCGGGTCCAGAACCAACGTCCCAGTTCGAGCACTCATCTATTCCTGCAACCTTGAAAAAGATTTTCAATCTAAAAGAGTTCTTGACAAAGCGTGATGCATGGGCAGGGACTTTTGATACTATTATCAATAGAACTACCCCTAGAGAAGATTGTCCAGGTATCAATCTATATAATTTTATTTGTTTCATTATTTCATTGGTTAGATCTTCCCTGTTAGGAATGAGTGAACATTTAGTATTGGGCTCATTCTTAACTTATGAAGGAACATGGTTTGATCAATTAATTAAAAAAAATTACTTTGTCTATTTCGAGTAATAAAAGTTGAATAAATAATTTAGTTTAACTTTATACGCAGAGACATTGTTAGAACCTATATTAACAAGGGATTTTGAGGTAGAAGAAGATGAAACACTAACTGAATTTCAAGAAGAGTTGGTTCAAGCAGCAGCAGTACTGACCGGAGAACACATTAAAGACATTTATCCATTTAAGCTAGTGGAAAACATGAAAGCTTCACATGGTGCAAAGTATGTTCAAGATGCTTTCAACAAATTCCTTAGCGAAAGTAAAAAGGCTAAGGATGATGGAGCTGATGGGCATGAGATTGTTTCATTATTTAACCCAACTACAAAAACAATTTTTTCCGAAACTTTTCTCCAGAAAGTGTTTTCTTGTTTGGTGTGTGATAATTAATTAAAAAACTAATACTTAATTTATATGATTTGTTTTAGTTATAATTAACTTTTATATTGAATTTGTAACAGTAATTATAAGTTTGATTTTCACATTTTGGCTTCTATCTGTTTTGTATGGACAAATAAAAGGTATTTATTCAGTTAATCCATAATATATATATATATATATTGTTATAATGTATTAAAAAAATCAAAGTTTAACTTTTTTATCCCTTAAAAAAGTGATAGAAGAAGAAAAAAAATAGAAAGAGAACAAGCATTTGTATTTTGGGAGTTAAACATAAAAAAAGTATATCTACTATACAAAAATATAAATACAAATGTACTTGATTAACTGCTTTTCTTTATTGTCCCACATGATTCAAAAAATATTTATCTATTTTTTATTTAGTATTAAAATTAATTAAATTAATAAATTCAATTATTTCTAAAAACAACATAACGAGTATCTATTTTACACAGACAAATAAAAGATATTTATTCAATTAATCATAATATATATCTAATAATAACCCGATTTCCTTAATTGAATTGATTATAATATATTAAAAAATTAAAATTAACTTTTTATAAAAAAAAAAATAAAAAGTATTCTAGTAAATATTAATCAAATCAAAATATGAAAATTAATATATTTAATTATTTATAAGAAAAAAATAAAAAGTATTAAATTAAATATTAATCAAATCAAACTGCTGAATCTATATAAACCGGTCCATTTACAAACGATCGTCAAACCTCACAATATCAACAATGGAAGCCGACGCCGGTACTCCTTCCTCTTCCTTTCCCATCAAAACCGTCGTCGTTTTGATCCAAGAGAACCGATCCTTCGACCACATGGCTCGGCTGGTTCAAATCTCTCAACCCGGAAATTGACGGCGTCGACGGATCTGAATCCAATCCATTATCAACATCCGACCCGGATTCCGCCCGAATCCCCTTCCGCGACAACTCCGACTACCTCGACCCGGACCCGGGCCACTCTTTCGAAGCCATCTACGAGCAGGTATTCGGGAAGCCATGGAGCCCCGACCCGAACCCGGAAGTTACGATGGAAGGGTTCGTCCAGAACGCAGAGAGTATTCAGCAAGGCATGGGAGAGAAGGTAGTGATGAATGGATTTAGACCGGAGGCGTTGCCGGTGTTTAAGGATTTGGTGACGGAGTTTGGTGTTTGCGACCGGTGGTTCTCGTCGTTGCCGTCGTTGACGCAGCCCAACAGGCTGTTTGTTCACTCTGCGACGTCGCATGGAGCGATTAGCAACGATACGAAGAAGTTGATTGAAGGATTCCCGCAGAAGACTGTGTTTGAATCCATGGAAGAAAGTGGGTTCTCCTTCGGAATTTACTATCAGTCTTTCCCTAATGTGCTTTTCTACAGGTACTCAACTTATATCTTTTCTTCATGGATTAATATATATATGTATATGTATATATTGCTCTTTGATAGTACAGAGTATGCTATTTTATATTATACGTATATACTTGTAAAACTGTTAAATTTATTTACTTTTTAAGTTTTTAATCGTATAACTTTTTTCTTTGTTATGATTAGAGGCGGCTGATTTAACATATACCTTGAACCTGGCTCTTCATGTAGCATCACGATCATGCCAGTAACACTATGGATAAATTATTATTTTAAATTTATGGATATTCATTTATTTTTAATTACTAAATTAAATACTTGCCATGTATTATTAGTCATCTATGTGTATATATATATATATATATATATTGTTTTTTAAGAAATATTATTAATCCTGATTGGACCTCCTTAAATGAATTATTCAAAATTACTTTGAATCTACCGATGGAAAAAAGAATAATCCTGTACGATGTGGGACAAACTTGCCAGGTATATATGTAAACAATTAACATGTCGAATCTTGGTCATCATATTTTATATCTGTCTTTTCTTTTTCTTTTTTTTTATAATTTAATAATTCATCAAATATATTAAACTCATGGTTGGATTAGTCGGGTCCTATGCTTGCTATATATATACATGTATATATATATATATATGTATATGTGCGTGTGTATGCGTCTGGATGTGCTTGCATGTCTCTTTCATAATCAAGTTAGGTTTTAAGAATTTGAAGGAAGAAAATTAACATATTTCTTTTTTTTTATTAAAGTGCATTATTATATTATGGTAAAATTATATTTTTAGTAATTAAAAATAAATAAATATTTTATAATTAAGTATGAATATATTTTAAATTATAAAATATTTTAAAATTATTTTTTAAAAAGTTAGCTTTCATTTATATAGAACAATATATCATATACCCACACATTCTTTTTGTCTTAGTTCATGTCATTTGAAAATTAAAAATGTTATCCTTTAATTTTTTTAAAATTAAAATGCATTATATTATACAAAAATATAATAGGTTTTAGTATAACAGTAGTTGTTAGTATATCTATTAGCAACAAATTTATGTTTTATAAAATTGATATTTTCTGTAATAATTTTAATATTTTTATTTAAACCATGGTTGTTTTATTATTTTCTAAAACTACATGTAATTTATGGATATTGGATATGTAGGAGTATGAGAAAGTTGAAATACATAGATAATTTTCATCATTACGATCTAAGCTTCAAGAGACACTGTCGGGAAGGGAAGCTTCCCAATTACACGGTGATTGAGCCTAGATATTTTAACATGTTGTCGGCTAAGGCTAATGACGATCATCCTAAGAACAATGTGATGGAGGGCCAAAAATTGGTGAAAGAAATCTACGAGGCTCTAAGATCAAGTCCCCAGTGGAATGAAATATTGTTCCTTGTCATCTACGATGAGCATGGTGGCTATTATGATCACGTCCCAACTCCCGTTGACGGAGTGCCTAATCCTGACGATTTAATTGGTCCTGAACCTTCTAACTTTAAGTTCGATCGTCTTGGTGTTAGGGTTCCTGTCCTTTTAATTTCTCCTTGGATTGACCCTGGAACAGGTACTACTCTCACTACAAAAATAGTAATTTTTATAACGAATTGTTGCAACAAAATTTATCCATATTCTGCAACGATTTTTATTATGTTTTAACTTTGATTTTCTATTAGTTTTTGTAATTACTAAATTTTTTGCTATTAAGAAACATTTTTTTCTATAATAAATCATAAAAATGTGGTAAAAATACATTTTTTCATAATAAATATGAAAAGTTATAGTAATAAGTTTTTATTTCTTATAATAATTAATGGACAATTACAGTGGTGCACGGGCCGCCAGGGCCAGAACAAATGTCCCAGTTCGAGCACTCATCAATTCCAGCAACCTTAAAAAAGATTTTTAATCTGAAAGAGTTCTTGACAAAGCGGGATGCATGGGCAGGAACTTTTGATATTGTTATCAATAGAACTACCCCCAGAGAAGATTGTCCAGGTATTAATTAATGTCATTCTATCTGTTTCATTATTTTGCTAGTTACATCCTCTTTGTAAGGAATGAGTGAGCATTTGCTATTGGGTTAAATGTTAACTCACGAGGGAACGTGATTTGATCACTTAATTAACAAAATATTACATAGTCTCTTATGGATAATAAAAGTTCAAAAAAAAAATTGGTTTAACTTTACATGCAGAGATATTGTCAGAACCCATATTGACAAGAGATTTCGAGGTAGAAGAAGATGAAACATTAACCGATTTTCAAGAAGAGTTGATTCAAGCAGCAGCAGCACTAACTGGAGAACATGTAAAAGACATTTATCCATTCAAGCTGGTGGAGAACATGAAAGCTTCACACGGTGCAAAGTACGTTGAAGATGCTTTCAACAAATTCCTTCGTGAAAGTAAGAAGGCCAAGGATGATGGAGCTGATGAGCATGAGATTGTTTCATTGCTTACCCAACCTACAAGAACAACTTTTCCCAAAACTTTTCTCCAAAAAGTGTTTTCGTGTTTGGTGTGTGACAATTAATTAAAAAATTAATACTTAATTCGTATTATTTGTTTTAGTTATAATCAACTGCTATATTGAATTTTCAAGAGATTGAAAAATTTTGCATGAGATTATAAATTAGTTTTTGCATTCAGCTTGTATTTGTTTTGCATAGACATATAAAGATATTTATCCAATTAATCCTTAATAAATATGTTTAATAAATTAATTTTTTTTTTGAATTTTACTGTTGCTCTTTTTTTAAAGAGATTACGAACAAGATCACATTTTTGCAGTATAAGCGTAGAGGCCCAGAATTTATTGAATATGAAAGTATTGAATTAAGTAATTATAGGCGAAAATAATTTTAGAATTTAAGGTTTACATTCCTTAGACAGTAAATTAAGATACTAATAGTATATGCTCCCAGATTGTGTTATTGACTTCAAAGGTTATTGGGATGATCATTTACCCATAATAGAATTTGTCTACAATAACAGCTACCAAGCAAGTATCGGCATACCTCCGTACGAGCCGTTGTATGGCCACCCATGCAGATCGCCGATCTGTTGGGAAGAGATGGGTGATAGAAGATTGTTCGGTTCAGATTTTGTGGAGGAGACTACATCCAAAATAGTTAATATCAGAAAGAACATTCAGATGACTCAGAGCAGACAGAAGAGTTATGCAAATACCCAAAGAAGGGATTTGGAATTTAAAAAATGTGATCAGGTGTTTTTTAAGGTCACTCCTTTTAAGAGAATTAGTAGGTTTGACAAGAAGAAAAAAACTAAATCCGCGATTTATTATGTCATTTGAAATCTTAGACAGAATTGACACCGCCCCATACAGGTTGACACTGTCTTCAGAACTATTCAGGGTTCATAATGTGTTTCATGTGTCCATGTTACGCAAGTACAACTGGACTTTTATCATGTCTTTGCGCACAAGTACCTTTCACTTCAGGAGGATCTGTCATACGAGGAGGTACCGGTGGATTCGGATTTGTTTCCGCGCGTGTGGACGATCTGGATCCGTTCCCTCATCAGGTGCGATCGGAAGATCGCGATTAAACGTGATGAACGGTTCAGATTCGTTTCTTCTTTAAATGCGAGCGTACGATTTAGATCAAATCGCGATAAACAGTTCAGATTTATTTTCTCTTTAAACGTGATCGGACGATCGAGATTAAATGCGATGGGCGGTCCAAATTAAAGAAAAACGGATATAAATACCTCACTTCACACCAAACTCTAACTCTAACCGCCAGCCCCCCACTGAAGAAGAAGAATCAGTCGTTAGAAAAAGGTGCTGATCACCGCGTGTCGCCATGCCGGAGCCACCTCCGACCGCCAAAAAAGTTAAAAAAAAATTTTGTTCACTCAAAATTTGATTTTGAACAATCCCATGGCCAAATCGGAGCAAAAAAACCAACGGACGAGTAGGAAACCATGGGTAAAACTTAGTGGTGCCGTCGCGGAAAAAACAAAAAATTATATCTGATAAGCCCGTTCCCGATTCCCGTTTTATGCAATTTTTTCATCATTCTTTTTCCTACAGGTTGACCGAAAAAAAAGTCCAACTGCTGTAGGTGAGTTTTTTATTTTTTTGACTTTTTTCAGCCAACCTAGGCCCCTTAATGTGTTTTCTTTTATGGATGAATATAAAACTAGCCGAAATTAGCCAAAACTGGTCGAAATCAGGCAAAGTTGGCAAAAAATGACCAATCCGAGGTAAACCACAATTGCAAGCGGCGATGCTGTCACCAGAGCACGACGGTGCCGTAGTATCGGAATTTTAAAATTGGTCAGAAAAAGATTTTTAACACCGATTTTAGATTTTTTGAGGTATTTTTAGGTATTTGAAGAGTGTTTTAACCTCCAAAGAAAAATTCAGGAAACGTAGGTACCACGAGTAGGTGCAGCTGAAATCTTAGTATTTTAGACATCGATTCGTGTAAGAAGCTATCACTTTATTTTCCGTTATAAAATTAAAGTTTAATTATAAATAATACGGTATTTTGCATAATTTAAAAAATATCGATAATTAATTACAAATTACTAATGGAGTCAAAACCCGTTATTTATTACTGTTTGTCATGTTTTAACTGATTGTTTGATTTTACAATTTCAAATGCATGATAATACACTGAAAAGTGATAAAATAATTCGGTTATGTTTTCTTGATGCTTGTATTGTTTATTTTGCGTGATTTACAGTTAAATTATGAAATTGAAAATTAAATGTAAACAGAAAATTATTTGATTAAATGAATGGATGAGTGATAATCTTACTGGATATCTTGAAAGATAGTAGACGGATCGGGTATGTAGAAAACCCTATCGTAAACGTTGGCTCACACTGGATGGGATACCGAGAATTAATATTTTTGGTTCTCATACCGGACGAGGTATGGGGACGGCCCGTTTTACCCTCATATTGGACGGAGTATTGAATGTTGGTATTTTTGGTACTCATACTGAACGGGATATGGGGACAATCCGTTTCACCCTCATACTTAATGGGGTATTGAGAGATGATACTTTTGGCGCTCATACCGGACAAGGTATTGAGACGGTTAGTTAGTTGATAATGTTGAATAATAGTTCACGCGTAGTGAAGACATCCTTATTGATCTCAATGGATACCAGTAGGCAGATAAAAAGAGAAAGTTGTTATTCTGGCTAATTGAATATGAGATTATGATATTGGTTATGTTATTGCCTCTATAGATCGGTTTTGAAAATCTCGCTACAGTAAATATGCGGTAAATGATTTTATTTATTATAAATGAATTTACTTAATTTAAGATATCCATTAGTTGTTTTTATGATTTCTACTAATCTTCATTTCTGTATCTGTAAGTAGTGTGACATTCTTATTGGGTTAGTGTCGTTCACTATTTCATTAATCATTCAGATCAAGTGACCAAGATCCAGAATT